AAAGGCAAACCAATCACTAAGGTTTGGGAGTAGCTGACAGGCGGACAGAATACCTTGATGAAGTTTTGAATAAACTAGCACTGCTGAACTTACCGGAAACCGAAATTGCACAAAGTGACCTGCTTATAGTTGTTACTCCACCCGGCCTAGCCAAGAACACCGTCGTTTAATAATCAAAGGAAAACAAATATATTATTTATTTATAACAATCTACCCAATGCTCAATTTATTCAAAATTAAAGGAAAACAGTTCAATTAAAAGACGTTCAGTGCTGTTAGATCCAGAATTTTAACTGCTTCAGTGTGTCTGTGACATTGATAGTATGACTGTCACTCTCTCTGTAGTTCAATAATTCAAAAGACGATAATAGCTTTAACTTCCTTGTAATAATCTTAAAGATGCTTATAATGGTTCAGAAGATATGCAGAAGAAATACTATAGGAAATAATGTAAGTACGAATAAAACTGATGGTGCCTGAATGGTACATTTTCCAAATGGTACAGACGTTTAATAAAGCCTAATCTTCACAATTGGAAAAATATTCTTATCAGTCAAGGAACAGTATTCTACCTAATGAAAAAGAGTAAGTAAATGTAGTTTGCTACCAAGATGGACGATCAGCTATAAAGTAATAATTATATGACAATTATTTGCCAATTATTAATTGCGAATATCTCTAAAACAAGCAGGGAAAGTGCTTCAAAATCAACCACATAGAACAGAAGCAATCTGTCCACAAAGTATCAACCAAAGTATAGCAGTCCAAATGGCGACCGCTATAAAAGTTTGTTAAGCAAGACGAAAAAGACAGTAATTAAAAGACTCAACAATATCAAGTATTTAGTTAGAATTCAGAATTTATAAACAATGTGGTATTAATAATTGCAATGAATGTGAATAAAGGATTCAGTAAACGCTCAGTTTTTAGATCAGCAAAGCGGCTTTCTCAAAGAACAGTCGTTTACTAACCAAATCTTGACACTGAGGATCATTGTTAAACAATCAGTTGGATGGAACTTGGTAAGTCTTGCTGATTGAACTCTATACTCGGATCCTAAGCTAGTATCGTAACCCCCAAGCTAGAACTTCACAGCGACTTGAACACGAGAGAAAAGGCGCAAAATATGCGAGAAGCACTTTCCTCATTCATGTACAGAAAATATAGAGTTTTTGTAGTATTTTAGAAGTCCTTGGGTTTTCCTGAAAATTCTAGAATACTACTAAACATAGCAGCAGTATAGTAATCAGCCAATCAGGACCTCTACATGTGACTTTTCGTTTTCGCTATGTTTATAGCAAAACTTCTAGTCAAACGTTGATTGGATGAAATGCTTCTCAATGTTTCCTGAGCTTTTCATGTCTATTGCGAGAAACTTTCTGGATCATCCCAATAGACCTCATTTCTGTGAGTCAAATTTCTTGATAATGAGGAAGCATTGCACAGTGTGAACCGGAAAACATTGTGGAATCCTCTTCGACATGGTGAAGTGTCTGTGAAGATCGTCACCATCATACGGAACTCTGAAGACATACCGAATTGCACGTTCTTGGATGGAGGATAAATCACATGTGTGTTTCAAGTGGGGAATGGTGTCAGACAGCATCGTCTACTCTCTCCGTTCCATCTCGTTCTGGTTGCTGACTGGATGATGAAGAGATCGACATCTGGAGAGAAACAGGGAATATAGTGGACAATTTGGACTCAACTGGACTATATATAGATTACAGATTAATTGAATGTCCTATTGTATACACAGAAACCAATTGAGACATTGACAGTTAGAGTAGGAGGGGTCTCCACATAAGTGAATCCCAAGTTCACAGAGGAAACAGCAAGATCTAGAAATACAATACAGTGAGCATCTACCCAATTACGCTTGACGGTGCGGTTCTGGTGGTGTTGGAGGTCTTTCCTTACCTGTAAAGCATCAGTGATATACATGGCAATGGCATGGTATAAATGCAGAGGTTCAGCAACGTGTATTCGGACGCAATGATAATAATTCAGTCATTGTAACCATCTTGAAACACCAACATTAGAGGCTTGGATATGTGCTGAGAATGTTTTCGCGAAGAATTCTACATAGTGCATTATTTTTAGACGCTGGGGCTAGTTGGAAAAAGCGGAGAGGCAGTCATGGTATGAACAAGAGATGAAGGGTACCGGCATCTGTTGGACCTCTTTAACTCCCTGTTTGGAGTCCCAGAGGCTTTAAACGTTATCATAGATTGATCGAAAACGAAGGTAGTGGCAGTCACTGAAATTTTCTTTAACTTTCTTCTTTAAAACGAAAGGAACTTCATTAACTGAAAGAATTTCTGTTTGTACTTTTCTTGATTTATCAGCCTTTGATATTAATTTTTACTATCTTTAGCTTGTTTTCACTCATTTATTTTTCATCAGTTTGCTCACTTTACTTCCTCTATCTCTTTACAATATCATTTTTCTTATTTTATGATGCATTTTTAACTCTCGTGCTCTCTTGTACCAATATTTGTATGTTTTAATAAAAAAAATCTTAGGGTAAGAATTAGCAAAGCAAGGACAATGTTTCTAAAATTGCAGAATATCTGAAACTGAAAAGGACCGCGAGTCAACACCAAAGTTGGAGTTCTCAACACTAATGTTACAACAATTGTATTGTATGTAGATGGAACTTAGACAACTATCACCACCACCACCATTATCATCAGGGATGTGAAAGTACTAATGAACAGCTGCCTACACAATATTCTTCATATCAGTTGGACAGAGACTATCAACTATAGTGTACTTTGACAGAGAACAGAGCAGCTTTCAACTGAAGAGGAATTTGGGGAAGAGGTTGTCGTTTGATATGACACACTTTCCTGAAACCATCAAACCGCCTCACTAGATGAGCCTTAACTTGGAATGGTTGTGACAAAAGAAAGGGAGTGGGATCAAAGAACACGTGAGTTCGAAAGTTGGCTGCAGATATGAAGACTACAAATAGGATTTGATGACATTTCGAATGAAGAATGAGGGTAGAACTGGTCAGAACTCTTTAGTATGCGATCTATGCTTCTAAAGAAATGACCAGCTTAGGTAGTTAAGTAAATAAGTTACGAAAAATAGTACCTAGGAGACTTTTTCAATTTCGTTACGTTTTTTATAATTTGACTGGTTTTAATCAAGCAGCCATTGAAAACTGTAAAGTACTGGACAGCTGTTTCATTCAATTAAGAGAGTTTTCACCAGATAGCATCTTTTACTCCGCCTGAAATCAAAACCATGACCTGTATGTCTCGTGGAGAGCCCGTAAAATTTAAATTAATGACATCCAGTTATTTCTGTGTTTTGTTTAAATTAATTCGAGGTAGTATCCAATTATTTTACAATGTAAATGATAAAGAGCTATCTCAGACTCAACGCATATCGTGAATTGATTGTAGTTGAACTAGTGGATGTTGACTCAGTGGTTTGAAGATTAAAGGTTCATCATGAGGCCTGAATGTCCTGATTTCTATCCCCTGTGAGGTTATGGATGCTCATTGCAGAGAATTCTCATACTATTGCGAAACAACCGTCCTGTGCTCTCCGACTTTCGATATTTATTTAACTGAAACCAATTGTAAAAATGATTGGATAAACTCTATCATGTGAAATGTTCACCATTTTACATAGTTTGTTGAATAATAAAATCGTGAAAACAAGTCTTATCTCATTTTTTATTTTATTTCATTCATCATAGATACTTCATATATGATCTGAAGATTATGAAGTTAAATAATCACTCCAGTAGGTCTCTTCCGTATTCAACTCAAAAATTATATTGTTGTATTATTATCATAATATTTGTGTTTAAAGGTTTTCTTGGATGAATTAGGAAAATTACAAAACCGGTTATTTTATTCCTTGAAATCTTCTGATATTGATAATTATGCTATACATTTGACCATGTAACTAAGTAATCTATACAATTCAACATTAAAGTAACAAATTAGTAGTATAGATTATATTAGAATTTTGAAAATGTCTGAAGTACATTCAAGAATACAAAATCATTTGATTAGCAGTAATTCAAAACTCCGAAAAAATAAATGAAAACTATACACTAATCATATATTATTTTTCTTCTTTGTTCATTGAAATGAGAGAAACATAAATGTACGGAAATAATTATCTTTCAGAAATTCATTTATGTTCTGTTCCCAATAAGCTTTGTCACAAAAAAATGAACTCATTTATTCGAACAAATACACTCACATAAAACACAGCAAAAAAAACCATCTAATTAGAAATTGATATTAAATCGGTACAAATTGTCGGTAATGTATTTGGTGGCGGAAGTCTAAGGGGGAAAATGTGAATGCATTGATTCGATTGTAATATAAAGAATGTGAGGTTAGTAGGTAATAACTGTACAAAAAGTATTTATGTAATTGAGCATTATCACATCTGCATTGTTCTGTTCAAGTGTTCTATCCAATATTGAAGGTTACTGAAAAAAAGACAAAATACATCATGAATTTGGAGGGAAGAATTAAGGAAGTGATAAGTTGAATAAAAGTAAATTACAGAAAATTTTGAAGAATACGTCTGTTTTCTATTCCCCAGCCTCCAGTTTTCATAACTTTGTGAAATATGTAATAATTGAAAGAGGAATAAAGGACTAATGGAGGCTTCTCATCTGTTCATACTTAATATTTAAATACATAGAAAGGAAGAATAACACAAACAGAAATCAGTTAAAGTCAGACCTCTTGAAATTACATCATTCAGTCAGTAACTGGGAAAAAAGTCTTATATCATGAAATGAAGTTAATTTTTTAATGCAAAGTTTTCCAAATCATCTTTTGAAATTTTTTTGAGAAATGAACAACATGATCAGTGTTAAACTAAAACCGAAGCGTTAAATTAAAGAATCCAAGACAAATAAATCAATCACAACTTGTACATCCTTCAGATTGTCATAGAAAAAAAAGTTAAAAAATAGCCAGGTTATTGATCAAAACAATTGACACGTTGAACATGATTTATGATTGACAATATTTATATCGATGATTGATATGTTGAGAATATGATCCGGAATGACTAAAACGTTTGCCGCATTTTTGGCATTCAAATGGTTTTTCACCAGTATGCAAACGTTTATGTTCTGTTAGATGGTGTTTATGCTTGAAAGCTTTTGAACATATACGACAAATGAATGGCCGAAGACCTGAATTGTTTCATATAAAGTGAAAAACAGTTAAAAGATAGATGATTAATCCATTATATATATATATATATATATATATATATATATATATATATATATATATATAATCATTATGATTATTGTTAAGTACGAATAAAGATTTTAAACTCCGTACACATTTGGTTACTATCTAATGGGGAATACTAACCTCATAAGCTTACATTTAGTACTTGACAACTGTTAAAAGTGGTAGCCGAGGTTGATAGGCTAGCTATTATGACATTTGACCAAAATCCCTTAGGTTGACAGAGCCTCGCTTCACCTATAATCAGTTTTATTTTAAGTGATCTTTATTCCTGTATAATCAGAATGAAACTTTTACCGTATGTAACGATGATTAGATCTTAATTTTAATTTCGGCGCTCGGAAAATAATTGACTTGGTTGCCAGTATGACCGTCTGATGCTATGATGGAGCACCTATGGAAGTTATTATTGGCGAAAATTGGGCGCTGCAAATACATAACATCTGATTTCTCTATCTTGTCTTACATTTTAGATCGTTCCCTTATTAAAATATATTTATCCGTTTGTTTTTTCTTTCAGTTTGAAAATTTACAGTTGAACAGTAAATTTAGGTAGACATAAGTAAAGAAAATTAATGATAGTTGAATAAAAGGCAGTCATATAAATCACTTGTCAGATTGTTTGTCGAAAGGTTTTCAAAACAAAGTCTTAATTTATACAAAACATAAAAGCAAAATTTTCCACTGGTTAAACAACTTTTAAAAATCGTCACGTCAAAAGTGATGCCCATACACCCTCTCCCTTTCTTACGCAAACATACACGTAGAGATTAAAGTTATTATAAAAGAAACCAGCTTATTGTAGTAGTCAAATGTTCAGATTTCGGAGACATATTTTTTTGCTACTAGTTAGACTAAAAATAAATTAATATGTTTCCTTTCTTCTATAGAGCAATATGACAGCATCATTTAAGATGTTTTAATGTATCCTCCATTTTACAAAATATAAGCTCTAGTCAAACAGAAGATTAGTGTCTGAAACAAAAATTGGATTACTAGGATTGAGCCTAAAATTAACCAAACTGGTTTAATAACTCACAGATTGCTGTTACTAATGAGTAATATATGAATAATAATGAATAATGTATGAATATGAGTAATATTTGAATAATTTGAAGTGTTTTTTCAAGTTTATAAGAAATGTGGTTCATTGAGGATTGAAAAATTGAATCATGTAGAATATAGATATATATCTTGTTCAATCAGTTTACTTAATTCGGTTTAATTTTCGTAATATTGTTATTCGTATGTCCCTGATAAATCAAGTGTACCAACACACAACTATTCCTTTTTGTGTAAATTTGTAGCTTTGAAATGCCAACAGTGTAAGTAGACTGTAAAAGAAAATAATATGGGCCCTATTCTGAATATTCCGGAAACATTATTCAGGCATCGATCGATGAAGAATCCTTATGGGAGGCATATGCTCCTCAACGAGGGGTAACAAGTGTAAGTAAATAATAGTTTATACATAGCTAAATAAAACAAAATTTATGATGAGTTTAAAAGTGGGATGTACCCATATGCTACTGTTTGAGAAGTGAATCGTTACAAAATAGTCGTCACCTAACTTTACTCATGAACAGTATACTGTAACAATAATCTTATGCTATCAGGGAATAACCATCTTACTTCTGAAGTAGATTTCACATCTCAAAGATCATGGTCTACACATGTTATAAATGCATTTGTATTTGTATTTCAATCCACCAACTGAACGATAGCGTGTGTCTACCTCAAGTTAATTTATATCATGAAAAATAATATATAGTCTCTGCTTAAAATGAAACGCCCATTCCCTGATTTTCAGTCTCCTATATCACTCAAACTACCATTCAATGAGAGAAGCTATATTCAGACTGTTAAATGTGTTCAAGAAATGACAAAACTCTTTACCAAATAATATTCGTACAGCATGGAATATTCGTTGAATGTTCATCAAAAAAGTTACTTTCATACTTATTTTAAGTGTATCAGTAATAAATGTAACAACCGTCTTTTTTTTTCAGTTTTAATATTCTGAATTTTCAATGCCGCCATTGTGACGGTAAATGTTTGTAGATTATAATATACATGTTCGCAAGTTAAACTACAATATATATTCGTGTTTCATTTAATAATCTTAAATAAACAAATTTGTACAACATTAATAAACACTTTAATGTACATTTGAGGTTATTTATTGACTCATTTTAGCAAGAAAATTATCACAATAAATTTATAAATAAATCGGAAGGGCTTTGTGGAGATTTTAGTAACTTTTTTAATAGTTGAAATCGTGATGGTGGAGAAGATTTGTAGCTCAAGTGGATGATTTTGATGGAGTTTTGTACTCTGGTCTCGATGGTTTGGTTGTGGAGCTTTCACCGTCCTTCTGAACTACATCATCAGCACAAACATCGGGTAGAAGGGAAGTGTTTGAAATAAACAATGACAAATTTAAGGTCAACAAGAACCAATCAACATCAAAGTGAACAGGACAAACTGTAAACCACATGTGGAGAAATTCGAACACTTTAATTCTACCTCAAGTTTGTGCTGATGATATCGTTCAGAAGGACGATGAAAGCTTCACGATCAAACCATCCAGCTCTGAGAACAAAACTCGACCAAAATAGTTGAAATCATGAGTCAATTAAGGTTAGGTTTTCCATAGTGATCTAGCTTTAATCGACTCATGATTTCAACTATTAAAAAATTTACCATAAATCAATGTTTTGTATCACAAATAAACTGATTTTAAAAATGGCTTATCCAAATTGTTTCAGATTAATTATAAAAAGATATTTTGATTATCAACATATACTACTTATTATAGTTATATTTCTCAATTTCTTTTCTCTATGTTAATCATTTATTTAAGTTAAAAAATATTCTCAAATTATCAACTCAAAAGTTAGTTCATTTTATGTTAAAGGTTAAGGTTTTTCAGAATAAACTTCATTATTTGTTATATTAGTTTAGTGAAAGCTTTCATACGAAAATAGTTTAAAAATACCTTTCTAAGTACACTGAATAATGTTCCTAAATTTTACAAAACATCGTTGTTCATCATAGTATTCACAAGGAAGGTATTTATATTACTAAATTACTACTGTGCTCTTGTCATTACATTTAATGCTTTCTTGAAATAAAGCAATTCTATTGAACACTCATAGTCATATCATACTGACTGGAATGAAGATAGAAAAAAATGTGGGCAAAAACTATACTGACAAATGTTATAATGACAATGTATAAGAAGCGGAAACAAAATTTAACTAGTAATCCATTTTTTATAGTTGCGAATACACAACGTAGAGGAACTGTCCTGGGTTTCACTTATTTGTCAACTAATGTCGGTTAATGACAAAAATCTTTTTTTTTTAATTTTCGTCATCACTTTCCTGCATTTCAGTCTATTTTAAAACTTTGCTTTTGAGATGCACGTCAATGCTGAATTCTGATGTATTCAACTGAAGATATAGTTTTCATAATGAATAATCCTTTTATCAGCTGTACAGTTGAAATGACAATTCATTTTAGGTATATGGAAGCTAAACAAACAAATAAATAGACGTACTGATAAAACTAGTGAGAGATTTAATTTTCTTTACTATAATTTCAAGAAAATGTTAGTGTTTTGCATATGTAAAACAATCTCCACAACCCTATATTGATAATTATGATGCACTCATTAGTGACTAGCTTCAAGGTGGATTTCCTGAAGTTCTAGTGGAGTTCAACCGTGTCTATTGTGAAGCAGTTACATACTGAAGACAATGGTGGACGGTCACGCATCGTCGGATACCGGCTCAATGATCTAGGGGTTAGGGGTTTGCACAAGAGACCCAGGGTCATGAGTTTGATTCCCACACGTTGGACCGAGGATGCGCACTGCGAAGGAGTCTCATACTAGGGTAAAACGACCGTCCAGTGCTTCCAGGTTTTCAATGGTAGTCTAATATTGATCCATTCATGATATCAGTCTAAACTACACAATGTCAGCAACCCTATACTGATATCTAATACTGTCGTTTTTATTAACATACAAGGAAATAGGATATAGATGAACACGTTTCAGAAGAAGATTTGGTAATGTAGCATAATTTAGAAGTATCTAAAATTTATAACCCTCTTAAGATGGATAAACTATAGAAGTTTACACCGTATTTCATAATCTGTAATTTCGTACACATTAAGAAATATAATCAGTTAATGTATAAAATAATAGAATGATTAAGTTATGTTAGAAATATTAATCGAAAAAGGGATCTAATATATGTTAACCTGGTGACCTAGGAAAAACCAAACATCGATAACACATAATTAGGCTCAAAAAGATTTCCTGAATATTCAAGGAATGAAATCAGAATTAGTTATATATTTTAGAAATAGTATACTAATTCGAGCAACTTTGATTGCGAAATTGACCAAGGAATATTTTTCTCTATTTATCGACTAACTACTAGTTAATAATTCATTTTCAATTCATTTTACTTTTACTCCCCATGATCGAAAAATGATGAGATGAATAATAATTACTTAATACAGTTTGTTTCATGGTAAAAAGTAGTATGCAATATTGAAATGATATTTTTACAAACACACTAACAAATGTTTAAATCAGAGAGATTTGGCCGATCCAACGGACTAAACGACGACTGACAACTCACATATGGTGAGATTTCAATTTATAATTGGCTTTTCAAAATCATTTACCATGCATATGACAGCAATGATAAGGGTGCTAAATACAACTAACACCATTTGGTTAAAAATGTTGCTGTTGTTATTACCTTGGTGATAGTCATACACCAGAAAGAGAAAATAAGATGAAAAAGACAAATCACAGACAGAAGCATACCTTAATGAATCGAATGAAACAAAACATTTCTATCCACTTTTTCTACTCATTAAATGTGTTGTTTTAGTGTTGTTGCATTCCTTCATAGTC